CAAGCCCCGCCCCAGCCACCTGACCGCCCCCCACACACACACACACCCCCACCGGCTGTGCCCCACCTGACCCAGCCTTCCCAGCCCACCTGTCCCGGCTGCAGGTGGTGGAAAAGGCCTACCCGGAGGAGCCTGTGGGCGTGGTGTGCCAGGTGGACGGCGTCCCCCAGGTGGTGGAGTACAGTGAGATCAGCCCCGAGACCGTGAGCCTTCGCGGGCCCGATGGGAGCCTGCTGTACAACGCGGGCAACATCTGCAACCACTTCTTCACGCGCAGCTTCCTCCAGGTGGTCACCAGGTGTGCCATGACCGGAGGCTGAGCTGCCTAGGATGGGGCTGTGGTCAGGAGCTGGCCGGTGGTTTGGGGTGGAGAAAGGTTCTTGATGTTTAAAGAAGCCCAAGGCCCCAGAGAGCCCAGCAGCTGGTGTAAGGCTCTGCGGCCAGGTTGTCCGGTTCTTCCTGTGGTGTGGCGCGTGGTCCGCCGGCACCACCTCGGCCCCAGTGGCCATTTCACCTGGGCAGGGATGATGGTGTCTGGCTCTCGGGTCGGGGGGTGCAGGAGGATGCCTGTGCCTGCCCGGGGTCCCTGCTCAGCTTCCACCACTTGGTGCCCCACCGGGCCCACCTGTCACCTGCCTCACCTGGCTGGGTATCTTGTCTGAACTGGGTCTTTCCTCCCTTGCCCCCCTGTCCCCCCAGGGAGTTGGAGCCCTTGCTGAAACCACATGCTGCTGTGAAGAAAGTCCCCTACGTCGACGAAGAGGGAAACCTGGTGAAGCCGCTAAAACCGAACGGAATAAAGATGGAGAAGTTTGTGTTCGACGTGTTCCAGTTTGCTGAGTTAGTGGCAGGCTTTACTCTTTCCATCTACCCTCCCATTCCGGTGGTGGGCTCCGAAGTCAGGCAGGGATGTGGAGGCCCCTTCCCAGTGGGGAGCTGGGGGAGCGGGGGAAGGCCAGAGGAAGCAGCCCCCCTGAGGGCAGGAACTTAGGGAACATCAAGGGCTATGGACTTTGGGGAGACACCTGGCTCCTCCTGAGTCCTCCGTCTGCTGTTTCCAGGCCATGGAGCTGGGGTCTCCCCCAGGGTGTTGGGCCTCACTCTGGGGTCCCAGGGCCTGAGGTTTGACTGGTGGCAGTTGGAGGGAGGACTTCAGGCAACTCCCGTGGGGCCTTCCTTAGGCCTGCTGCTCATGGAACAGGCCTCGCTCAGACACTGCAACCCGGGCCTGGCCTCCACCTGCCCAGGACCAGGGCCTGTGGGCCACAACGTCGGGCCACCAGTCCTTTCCCCCCAGGAACTTCGTGGCCTTTGAGGTGCTGCGGGAGGAGGAGTTCTCCCCTCTGAAGAATGCTGACTCGGCCGACAGGGACAACCCCACCACAGCCCGGCGGGCCCTGCTCACCCAGCACTACCGCTGGGCCCTGCAGGCGGGGGCCCACTTCGTGGATGCACACGGGGCCCGGCTCCCCGAGCTGGCCAGGTGAGTGTGGGCCCCAGGGTGCTGCCAGCCCTGCTGCTGTCTGAGCAGGTGCTGTGTGCCCAGTTCGGCCATACAGTGACCACCACTGAGGCCTTGTGGCCTAACTCCTCAAAGTCTACTCAGGGCCCTGGGGAAGGTGGGGACGCAGCCTTACCTGGCTCATTCATGAGCTTTGAAACCAAGACCCAAGCAGGACACTTGGAAAACAGCAAGGGAGGTCACTTTTTAGGGCCAGGAAGGAAAAGAACATTAGGTTCCCATTTCTTCGATTATCTACAGCCGCCACCTAAATCTGGCAGTCCAGGATCTGTGTGGGATGCCTGCGAGAAAGGGCAGGGTTCCAGCCCAAATCAGGGCCTATCACTTGGGCAGGGGCAGTGTGCTCAGGGCTCTGGGTGTCCAGATGAAGAGATGACCGAGAAAAGAACTGTGGGGAGCTGGGCATGTGGTGGTCAGCCTGCTGGGCCACATAGGGACAGGGCCAGCTCCCACGATGGGCAGTGCTGGGGGAGGGCCCTGGGGAATGCACTCATGAGCAGATGCTGACAAGTGGGCTCCCTCAGGCTTCCCAGCAGTGGAGAGCCTCCGGCCATCTGTGAGATCTCCCCATTGGTGTCCTACTCTGGAGAGGTGAGAGCTACCTGGGCATCTGGGGCTTTTCCGGGGTCAGGCCTGCATTGTCAGAGGAAAATGGTCTGGGGAGAGGTGGGTGCTTAGATGTAAAGTCACAGCTCTGCCTCATTTTACCAGTGGGGTAAATGAGTCCTTAAGTAGCAGAGGACCTTCCAGGATATGGGGTGGGGTGAGGGTGAAGCCCTCCAATGTCCTGGGAGGGGTGGGCAGGACATGCCAGCTCAGCCTTGCTGAGGGAGGAGTGCTGTCCATTCCTCTCTGGGTAAGTTCTGGCCTGATCCTGCTGGGAGGGCTCAGGCTGACCTGCAGTCTTGAGGTGACATCTGACCCTTGTTCCTGGAAGCACCCCTCCCCAGCTCCAGGCAGAATTGGGAGCCCCACCTGGGGCTAAGAGGTGGACACTTGGCTTGTTTCCAGGGTCTGGAGGTGTACCTGCAAGGCCAGGAGTTCCGGTCCCCACTCATCCTGGACGAGAACTGGGTCAGAGCATCGCAGCCCTGACCAACTCCCAGACCTGCCCACCCCTGGGGTCCGCAGGGTTGTGGATGTGGCCCTGACCTGGGGATCCGGGTAGGAAGGCAGGCAACTGTGCCTTTCTGGACCATGGAACACAGAAGGAAGAGCCCTGGTTTACACGAAGTGGGTCCTGTCTGGTCACCGCTTCCCACAGGCCTTCTGTGGGCCAATGAGAACTCTTCAGCTCTAGTCTTGGCTGTGAGGTCCGAGTAGGAGGCAGAGGGACTCTGGATCTTGGACTGTGGGGCTGAGGGAAATGTGGGATCAATGAGGGCAGCAGGCCCTGCCTGTGAGCTAAGACAGGACAGTGGCTTCTCTGGGGAGCACCAGCCACACCCAGCTTTTCTACAGATATACAGACCAAATAAGGGGGGGGGGGCGCTATCCTTCCCTCACAGGGTGGCTTTTAAAAAATACATTTTTTATTCATTTCAGAGAGAGGAAGGGAGAGGGAGAGAGAAATAGAAACATCAATGATGAGAGTCATTGATCAGCTGCCTCCTGCACACACACCCCGCATGTGCCCTGACCGGGAATCAAACCTCAGTCTCCTGGATCATAGGTCGATGCTCAGCCGCTGAGCCACATCAGCTGGGCCAGGGTGACTTCTTTAGAGGGACTCCCCCCTCCCTCCCTGGCAGCTGAACCAGGAACTGGGATGAGGCTGGGGGCTCACCGCCCAGCCTGACAGCTGAAGCTGACAGGAGAAGGGGGCTGGCTGCACCCAGGAGAGAAGCTGGGCCTGAGACGGAATTCTCTCCAGTCTTTGAGGCCTCAGTCCCCCGTCACGTCTGCAGCTGTTTGGGCTGCTGAGTTTTAGGAGCTTCTTCAAGAACTAGCGGGACCAATACCTGTGGCCTCCTTTGGTGGTCATTAATCTGGAATTTAAGTAGTTGGGGAGCACCATCCCTCACCCAGTCTGCCAGTAGCTTCTGATCTTGGTGCTCCCACTCCTCCCCTGCTCTATGGAGGGGCAGGGGCACAGCCTCTATACTTGGGACCACAGCACCCTCCCTGCACTCCTGCCTCCTGGCTGAGGCTGGGAGAAGCCAGCTGGTCCTGGTCTCTTGTCCTGGCTTTGCTGCTCTGGGCCCCAGCGCCTCCTTCCCGTCTGGAAACAGCACAGGAGCATCTACCTCCCCGCTGACGTGAAGAGCAGCAGACAATGCAGCCTGCTGCTGAACTGGGTCACCTGCCACTCCCCTCCACTGACGTTTACAAGCCGCAGAGAACCCACTGGTGTCCCCAGGAAAGGACGGTGGGTTCCAGTGCAGATGAATCATCCAGTGGCTCATAGTGGACCGTGGCTTCACCCATGCATCTCTATCTGGGCACGATAGCGGAGTCAGGGCCGTGCCCAGGTCTCCCAGTCTTTTTGAAAACCTCGAAATCAAACCGTGTGCCTTAGGATCTTCTTCTGAGCTGCTCCGCAGGCGATCTGGGGGCCTAGGGCAGAGGAGGGTCCGCCCTGGTGGAGGCCCAGGCCCAGGGTCCTGCCCAGACTGGAACACTGCACAATCTTTTTTTCTAAGTAGAGTTTGCTGGGCAAACTATTGAAACAGCTCACTTTTAAAAAAAACACACACATGTATTTTTGAAAAATTATGCCTTTGTATAAAGTTTCAAACAGCACAGAGCCCCGGGTACCCTTCAAGTGTCCTGTAATCTGTGTAGCCTGCGTGGTTACAGGAGGCCACCACCTGAGGACACGGCGCTCAGCCTCTTCTCACAGGTGCACCCCTGCCGTCCACCCTGCGCTCAAGCTGGACGGCCCGTCACCACAAAGATCTTCGTTCCACCTTTATAGCCACCTCCCATTTCCAACCCCAGACAACTGCGAATGAAACAACCGCATTTGAAAGATTGCGGACTAGTGACTTCTCAGCAAGGTGGGGGTCGCCAATAAACACCGCGCGTGGCTGGTCCCTGGCCTGGACGGTGCAGTCTTTGACCCGCGTGCGCGGCGGGAACACCCCAGGTGCTCACAGCTCTGTCCCCTGGGGCTGGAGCTCACGCGCGGCCGAACCCGCTCC